CCTTCCTTGGCTATGCTTTGCACACTTAACAATGACGCTAGCCAAACCGGTTAAAAAACAAAAATAATTCTCAGCAGCTGCACCTCTTACAAAAAAAAGTCTGAAACTGAAAAGTGCGTAGAATTATTCAATCACACAGTGTTCTGAAAGTGCATTGTCCTCTATTCTGCACTTTAGATGAATGACTGCTTAGGTGCCACTGGTGGTGGCACTGTATCGATACTTTTGAAAACGAGTATCGTATCCGGATACAACATTTCAGTATCGATACTTTTTTGAGTATCGATACTTTTGACAACCCTAGTTGCAACCCAAAATGTTATATACTTTACTGAAAAACGAAAGTAGTAAAAAACAAAAGAAAACTGTTTTTTACAGTACAATTGTGTATAACTCAAACCTTTATGTTTTTTTTACTAAACTCAGAGTAGTGAAGCCTTGAGTTTTCCATTTTAAAGGAAGAAGCATAACAAATTTGTAATAATTACAAGTATTGTATGTAAAATCTTTGGTCATCGGAGTGCACAACCAGTGCCAGATACGTTGGACAGGCTGTCAGAATTCTGCATATTCATCTCTTCCAGAGTTTTATTTTCTATACATCTCTGATGAAGACATTTAGTTTGATATTAGTATTTGTTTATTTTTCCTCTAGAACTGGATCCAACTCAACATTTCATGTCACCAAAGGACAGAACATGTTTCCGTGTATCTACCTTAACACTAGATATGACCTGTGTTTCCTGTTATATGAAGGCTTGTAATTAATGTATACTTAAATTGACTAAGGAATCTGTTGAGCATTGTTGTATAGTTAGTCTTTATCACATTTGTTTCTGTAAAAGTACTGCAGTTGAATTTGCTTTAATCTAAAATTAAGCTGTTCACAAGGAAATTACAGTCTTATCTTTCATCTGATTGAAAACAAACAAAACAACCTGTGTGCATCACCATGAGCATCATGCACACTTTGAAGCCCCTCTAACTCTAAACAATAATCAGAGGCTCTTTGCAGCATCTACAAAGAAATCAACATTGCTTCACTCACATTATTTCCTCATCTGTTACGTTAATGTGCAATTGAAGACAATGTAATTAACAAAATATCTATGGTCTCAAGTGTCCTGCTTCAGTGGGATCCCATTTCTACCATATGGAATTTTTACAGTGGTGGACGGAGTACTCAACTATACTTTTGATACTCAGTCAAATCTAAATCATCTTCAAGTAAAAGTTGCTCGGTCAGAAATCTAGTCAAGGGAAAGTACTAAAATTATTAAAATATTAAAAGTATTAAAATTACATGAATTCAAAAGTTCTTAAGTATTCAAAAGTACAAATAAAATGTTCTAACATCAGTACATTTCTATATGATTTTCAGAGTAATTTTATGTAACCTTGTAACTTTTAGGAACCACTTGATGGGTTGACGCATACAAGCACTTCGCTTCAAACCTGTAAAGAAATTCAGCATAAAGATGCCACGAAATTAAGGACAGCTTTTTGGATTATTATTTTTATTTAAAAACAACCCATAAAGAAAAAACAAGTGTGAATCTCCTCACACTTTCACTATGGAATAGAGGTTTAAGGTTTAATCTATTACTTTTTTTTTCATTTTCAAGTAGGTTCATTGTCATGGCGGTGTCACAAGTACAGTGAAATGAAATTCACTCGCTGCATTTAAACCATGGCTTTGGGGAGCAGCCCAGGGCAGTGTGGGTTTAAGGGTCTTGCTCAGAGACCCAAAGTGGCAGTCTGTGGTAGTGGGTTTCAAACTCACAACCTCAGGATTCCAAGCCCTATGACCTAGCCACTAGGCCGCCACTCCCTTTATTACCACAAAGAAACTAAAACTGCTTTGAGAACTGATCCTATTGAACAACTTTAGCCACATGGCAACAGCTCACACCTTAATGAAGTTTGTAAACTACAAATAATAAATCTGCCATTAGTTTTTCACATTTCTAGAATGTCATGCAAATCTCTAAAACAGTGTTGTCCTATTTCAGTCCTCAAGGGCTGCTATCTTGAATTTTTTTTTTTGTTCTTCTCCTTGGAGGTACTTACTACCTCCTCAGCATTGCAAGGTTCTGCATATGCCAGCTAATTAGCGATCATTTGACCACGGTGTGTTGAAAAAGATAAACAAAACATCCAGGATACCTGTTCTTAAGGATGAACTTCAAAATTGTTAGAAGCATAGTGTGGCCATTTGCATTTCAAAAAAGAAAAACAGCAACGGTTGATTACAAAGCTAAACTCAGTCAAAAGGAACGAGTAATGACTAGCTTCCTAGAAATGACGTAGAGTCGAAAGTACAATATTTCATTCAAGTAAAGGTGCTAAATAAATGTGCAGTAATCAATTAAATGTACTCTATTACTGGTCCCCACTGAGTATTTTAGCAACACCCGGAAGTTACAGGTCTTGCACCTCCGAAGGTCACTGGCAGTACTGCACTGTTGCCTCAGTGTTTTGGAATATGATAGCAGATTTCTTTGGATCAACAGATTAAGAATTCATGGAATAAGTTATAAAGGCAAGGCCACATTTCTCATTAAGTTTTATTCTTCATAAGAGAACCAAAAATATGACTGATCAAGTGAGGGTCGTATCTGTATTTTCGCTAAACAATAAGTTTTACCTTATCTTGCTGTTCTTTTTAAAGGGAGATCAGACAGCCGTAAAAGAGTGTTATATGTCACATGACTCATCCAGTGACGCATCTGACTTTCTCACAGGCAAGTTCTTGGGAAGGGAAACCCGCAAGGCGGCATCACCATGTGCCATGTTTATTAACCAGAAAAATAACTTAATATATTTCAAATCAAGTTAACACTTGGGTCAAAAGTTACACGTGTTACTGTAAGACAATTCAAAATTAATATAAACTAGTGTGATAGGCTGCAGTATTTTGAATTTGATATAATATTAAATTCTGGCATCACATTCAAGTCCAATATCGTGTATGTAGGTTTTACACGGAAGAGAGGCGAAAGTAAAAAAAAAAAAATCCAGTATTCTCCTCATAGCTCTTAATTCTTGTGAAAAAAGTTATTAAAGTTCAAATAAGTCTCTCTTGGGCAGTGACTCATTCTCAATAAGATTAATCAAGCCAGTTAACTTTGGTAAGAAAGACGAGCACAAGTAAAAACACATTATCCTGACTGTGGAAACAGATTTAAAACCATGCCAATAAACACTTACTGTACAAAACAAGAGTACAATATTATTGATAGCATATATACGATAGGGGTGGTAGATTCTATATTTACACCAGTTTTGCTTTATTTCTTTCATTTTAAACAAAGGTTAAAAAAACAAAAAGGTTGTTATACAAACAAACACAACTGGAAGCTTATAGACTGTTTTATAAAGGTAGACTGTTACAAAAACAGGTTATAAATCGTCATTGTTTTTACTGATTAGCTGAACAGTGGTCTCTGTCTCTGTTTTATGAAAGCTGCTTTTTTGTTAATATTTGTGTTGGCTCTCAGTGTGTCATCCACCTGCCTCCTTAAATATTTGTGTGACTGTGCTCATGTGTGCCTACGTGTGGCCATGTTTATGTCAATGTTTATGACAATCTTCCAGCTATTTGCTACATTTTGGGGACTTACTAAGTTACTGTTCTCTTCTTGGGGTAGGGGGTAGGTTTAGAATTAAGGTTAGGCACTAGAAATGAATTCTATATGAATGGAAGTCAATGGAAAGTCCCTACACCGATGGGTGTGTCTTTGTGTTCTTTGTTTTAGCTGAAATATTATGGAGCAGCCAGAATTAATCTCTTATCAGTTCACTAGGACATTGATTGTTTGAAATGCATGTAGTTGACCAATAAACAACCCAACTCTCTCTCTTCATAAACTGCAAACTGGACACTTATTACTTCCTTACAAATAGCTCATGATATCGGAAATCTGGTTTTAATCTTGGCATTAAGAAGAAACTGATTGTCAAAAGTTGGTCATTTAAATAAATTAGATGCCATAAACAGCACTTCTTGTGCACACTCCCCATAAAACTTGTATTTAGAACAGTGTAACAAAGTACTTTTGCATGTTTGAATTTTAATCACCTGGTCCACGAATCATCAAATTAATTTAGAGCCACTGTAATATGGTCAATTGAGAGGTTTGATCTGTGTGTTTTAGGATTAGGGTAGCTCTTTCATTTCATAGGAATTTATTTTCTCTTTTATTAACAATATTATTCAGGTTGTTTTTACTGAGGTCAGAATCTATGACTGAACTCTGTAATCCACCAGACTGCTGCCAAAACTACCCACTCTGCATCAAATCCATCTTGAAAACTCATCCTTATCGCATCATTTAAACCGTCTCTGTATTTTCAAATGACAGAGGATTGTAAGAATTTCCCCTGAATAGCAGATATGTATTTCCGATCAACAGAGCTGAAACAGTTTGAAGGACTTGCAGATGTGTTGGAGCGACTTCAGACCTGACCTGCTTCTGTTTTGAAAACTGTACAGACTGACTGTAAACTGTGCAGCTTTTTAAATGCTCAGTTTGTTTACAGGTACTTTTCCAAACAGGGTTACAGCTTATAAGATATTTTTAAGTGTTTTTAAAAATGTCGAAAGGATAGCCATGATTCATGATGGGGGTTATAAAATTAAGAAAATTTAACCCTAAGGTGGTTTGAAAGATGCTTGTGTAAACTGAAATGAAGATTTGTTGTATCCATCAATTTGTTACACAGAAGTTCTATCCCATCTCTGGGATTATAGAAAATTACTTGGAACATTTTATTCCATTCATGCCAATCAGCAATCCCTCCAACTGTGCCAAACACAATATCTAGAGAAGGAGACATCCATCAGAAACACTAACTTGGAATGAAAATACTGTAACAGAGCGAGGACTGTATAATCATTGTGTGATTTGGCTGTTACATGATTATATTGTGCCTTTATAAGTGAATGTTTCTGTAGTTTTAGTAAAACTATTTCTTTTTCTCTCTCCTTTCCACTCTAGCTGCCTCTGAAGGGCGAGTAAATGGCGGTGAGGATTTCTTTCAGAAGGTAAGTGTGCAGTCTGCACTTGGGTAATGTTTGCTTTCTCTTTCTGTTGTGTTCGAGCCCACTGAGCACCACTTCTCTCTGTAAAGGAGCAGATGTCAGGTGTTTTGTCCACTCACTTCTATTTACAAACTCAATCAAATAAAAACAATGGAACTTTACTGACGTTAAATGAACCCAGGACTTCCATGTCAAAACACAGCTGACACAACACTTTGACTTACATAATATACAGTGACATACACGATTATCGTGGGTATATAAATGGGCCTAGTGAGGGTAGCAATACCTCTTTTAATGACTGGTTTAATTAAAATCTCATACTGGCAGTACATAATTAATAATATTAAAAGAATTAATCATTATTTTAGGATATTATATATATATTTGGATTTAAATTCAGGTCCCTAACATTCCTTTTTATTAGTCAGTAAGGTGTGCATTGGCTTAGTTTTTAACAGCCATTTTTCCTATTTTATGGTATATTTTCATAGACTGTATCTGTGAGAGTTAGATTAAGGTTAATAATCAAAACATTAACCCAGTATTTACCATTAAAAGATGAAACTCCTCTCATAGGTTAATTACAATAGAATTCAGTTTTATTCACGAGCTTTCTAGGTCATTTAATGCCTAAAATGCCTTAGTTTATTAAGCTATTCTGGTAAAGTAACTATAAAAGAGGTAGAGACAGGTTAATACAGAGCCTGGGAATTGTCCTCTCTGCTGTGGATCAGACAGCTGCAACATCACTTTGATATAAACAGTACTGCAATTCACCTGAGGAACAAGCTGCAGGTACAACTTTCCTTTGATTTGCTTTTACCTACAGACAACCTCTTCTCTGTGTCTCTGCTCTAATGTGCTTACAAACTTTGAAGTTCTCCCAGAGACATGCTGTGTATCTTTGCTAGGTGTTATTATAGTAACTGTGTGACGGTTCCAGTAATTGTGCTGGTTTTATTTAGCTCTAGGCTGACGTGACCATCAAGCTTGTCCACTGCTGCATCTGCATGTTCAGACTAGAATGGATTGAACATAGAAGTTCTTGCTGTAAAACCTCAATTGTTAAAGAAAGTTGTTAATCATATTCTAAACCTTAAATCTAACCATATCAAAAGTAGCTTAGCCTATAAAGAGGAACAGTTTGAGTGTTATGTGTATGGAAAGCCAAAAGTACCAGGAATTAAATTAATTATGTATATTTCCCAGGTTATGGTTGCTAGACAGTCCTGCAGCTGCCGTGTGGCGGCTTCAGACTAAAGTTTCACCTTACCTCAGGAGTCCAAATAGGGTAACTGAGTGGCCCTGATGTTGGATAGAATAAGTATTTTTTGGACTAAGCAGCAGTTACCATGACATCAGTAAACTCACAGGGACAGTACAGCCTGCATCTGACGGTCATAAACTCCAGGTCTGCTTAGCTGTGCTCGTCAAAGACTGTGACAAGTTTGTTCACAGCCCTCCTCCCCTGTTCTTACCAGAGTCACAACTCCTGTCACATCTATGTGATTTGCATCCTGCCAGCTTTATAGCCATGCTAGGAATGGATGAGTAGAGCCAGGTCTCCGTAATCAGCAAAATGCAACACTCAGGTATAAGTCTGTTTGCTGCCCACTAAAGCTTCAGGCCATCCATCTGGCATGAAAAATGGTGGGTAGTGGTAGTTAATGTGGTTCTCGACATAGCTGTACCAAAGCACCAGCCCGTCATCCCCACTTTTGTTTAATCTCTCTTCTCCAATTTTTATGTCTCTGTTGGCATGAGTATTGGCAAGAGGCCTGATTCTTGGAGAGAGTAATTTGAAAGGCGAAAGCAAACAACAAGCGGAGGACTGGAGAAGTATTCAGCAGCAATAGCAGTCGGCAGGTGTTGCAAGGCATCCAGCACATCACCGGTTTCAGATCAAGCAATACCACTGAAATCTTTAGGGATGTTTCTCTGGCAGAGGAGCTCAACCACCTCTTTGCCTGTCACGAGGAAGAAACACTAGTGAAGCCCCTACTTACGCGGCCATTCCTCCACAGCCAAACAATCAATGTACAGGAAGTATGGGGGACTGCCCAGAGAGTAAACCCTCATAAAGCTCCTAGAACTGATGTTGTGACAGGGAGGGTGCTTATGGACTGTGTAGACCAGCTACATCCTACCATGCTCTGCAAGTAAAGGAAAAACAGATCCAGATTCACATCACTTGACTTGACCTCCACTGCTTTGCCTACAGACCCTACTGGTCTACAGAGGATGCTATCACTGCTGCTCTCTAAACCATGTTGACACATGCAGAAACAAGTGGGAACTAAGTTAGGCTGCTCTTCCTAGATGTTGAGCAAGCTGGGTGAACCGAGTGTCCTGCTACAACATCTGCTGCTGGATTGTGGCCCTTTTGACAAACAGCTCCCAGAGGGTGACTTTTACATCCTACTTGTCTTTGGCACTGAGCACTAGTACCAGCTCTCCACAAGGCTGTGTGCTTAACCCCCTACTCTACACTTTACACCCCTTACTGTATCAATAATACCATCATAAGGTTTGCTGATGATATCATGGTGGTGGGGCTCATCTCTGGAGGATTGGAGGTGGAACGTCTGTCTGGTGCAACACTTCCATTTAAACACTTCCAATTGTTGACCAGCTATTCAACCAGATTGTGCCACATTTTAGGTTCCTTGGCACCCATATCATTTCCAATGACCAGAGATGTAAGACTGTCATTAAAAGGCATGCTATGTTGCTCATATATTCTTTCAGACCATCATTGTTGTGATATACTGTAGCTCTCTTTGTGTAATTCAACAATTCATGGTTGAATTACAGAAAGAGAATTTGTGCTGTTATTACACTTTTAAACTGGCGGTGTGGTTAGTCTGAGAGAAATGTTAAAATCTGGCTCCATGAAGCGCATTAGCTGACAAAAGCATATCCCAGCTACCATTGTTTATTGCTAGCTTGTCTTTTTCTAGCATGTTACAAATGTGTTTTGTATTGCCCTTAACTTTTCTATCATTAGGTATTCGCCTTCTAAGCAAAACTGACACAGCTCTACCAGACTAGCTGAATGTGCTCTATTTTGGTGATAAGGAAGGGTTGACCAATTAAAAATCAGTAGGGTCCGAATAAAGAAAATCAACAACTAGTAAAGGTCCAAAGACATTTTTAATTAATTATAGTTAATTAATTAATTTAAATAATTACTTTAAACAGTATTTAACACTGATATAAAATGCAGGTGTTTATGCATTCATGTTATACATTGAATTTCTAAATAAAAAATATAAAAACTAGAATGTTTTTCCATTTTAATATCTAAATTGTTTTTGAAGTGGAATAACAATCTTTCAGTTTGGTATGTAGACAGTTTACTGACTCACTTCTTTTATGGGTTAATGAGAGAAGTGGGCTTTAGGCTGACCTGCAAGGCTGTAAACCTGGGTTTATAGCTTTGCAGAATAACAAAGCCATTCTCAAGCACATATCAAGGTGCTCATTTTGAGCTAGGATCGATATAAATTTTTGATTAAGGTCATGGTGGAGAATCCTGCTTTAAAGCAGGTTGAGCCAAACATACTCAAAATGTGTAGGGTCATCTTTGAGCACACCATTCTCCTTTCCCATCGCCCCGCTTACCACAGGTTTGCTTGCTGTGTCGTACCTAGGAGCAGCAGCCCTGACTGCCACAGCTTATTGGCTAATTTGTATCACGTGCAGCTTGGTGCCGGATGCTCTGGATGGCTTTACCATACACACAGGAGAAGTGGGGCAAGTGATGTTTAGACACTGTCGTCGGACAACATGCATTAGCAAGCAGGTGGGTCCGTATCCGGACTCGATCCGCTAATCTGTGAAATCAGACTTAAGGAGTTTATAGAGTTTTTATATTTAAAAGTTAAACAGCATAAAGTGCATTCTGCATCTGTCGCTATTAAATAGTGTAAAAAAATCCCAGATCATATTCTGGATCAATTATGTTTCCGCTAAAGCATGCCTCTGCATTATTTCTCTTGTAAATATCAGTAAGGCTCTGCTGAAGTGTCTACAATGGCACTCTCTTGTGGATGGTGACAAAACTATAACGCTGAAAAGAATTCCTTCTAAAAAGATGTTATCAGTTTATCAGAGAGCACTAATTTTAATAGAACAAACTATTAATCAACAATAAATTGAAAGTTAATTATTTGCTTACATCCATATGGACCATAGAGTCAAATTTAATTAGTATCAGGGGCTGGATAGGTTAAATGTGGCTCTCTTGTAATATAATTTTATATAATATTAATAGTTTCCACCTGAATTGATAGAGATTATCACTTTTCAGGTTAGTGTGTATAAACAGAGTAAAAGAAACCTATATCTCAAATTCCTCCTCTTCTCACTTTGATGCTGATACCAAATTACCATTCAATAGTCCTCTGTTCTCCTTGGAGAGCTTTGCCAACAATAGTTGCTGCACCTCTCTCTTGTTAAAACCCCTTTTTTTTTATTACATGGTTGTTTGCCAAATCACACCTTTTACAAGGAGACATTTAAAGTAAAATGGCAACAAGTTGATATTAACTAGAGGAAACATTAAAATGCCCAGTACGGAGAGTAAACAACAATAAAGAATCCAAATAGCGTATTTGTATAGTTTCTTTGTTTCTTGTATCAACCAATCACAGCTCTAACAAGCAATATCACACCTAGCAATGAGTTCAACCGCACCTCCTCTCCTCTCTTGTCTCCTTGTTCAGATCTTAAGGTGGCAAGAATTTGTTTAGGATAAGTTTGGAAATCTCTGAGAGGACTTTTAACCTGCAATTATTTTACTTAAATTAAAGAACATTTTATTTTACATATTTTATGACAACTCTTCCAGAAGGGAGAAACAAAATTGTCCATGCATGTTTGTCTCATGAAGATTAAAACTAATTTGAATCATTCCTACAACAGGCTGTGTGTATTACTTTAACTATTATTATTAAAAGTTTTATGTAAAAGTCTAAAAACTGGTGCAAAACTGACCC